TTCTTTAAAGTATTTATTTTGTGTTTTTCATGTCATTTGTATTACAGTGCTCTTGGTTATTTTAGGTTTTATCTACACAGGCCTGAGGAGTACCTGGTTTTTGCCTTATGAAACATTCTAATATGAACAAACAGAGAAAGAAAACATAAATTATCTGAGTTAGTAGAATAAGTGCTGTGCTAGCAGTAATACTTTAAAAAAAAATGTAATAAGTATTTTACAATATGTGTTAGGTACCTTAATGCTGGTAAGTTTAGAAGAAGTGTGTGTAGTTTTCCCTTTCTTTTTTCTTTTTAAAGAAGGAATTTTAAAGAAAAAGGAGAGGAACTTTTTTTATACAACATGGGTGGAAGGATGTTTCATGGACAAAAAGGTGTGGGTGGAAAAAAGAGTGGGAAGGGACTATAAAGGAGTTGTGTCCAGCAGGAGTCTTCGAAGGACTAATAGGAGAATGGGACTGACAGTAAGTAATGTATCAACCAAGTGAAAGCCAATAGGGAGATCGGGCCATGAAAATATAGAAATGAAAAAAAACAGGAGAGGTAGATTATTTTGGTATTAGATTGGAGGAGGGAACTGAGTTGGCAGTCAGGAGATTGAAAGAAGTAAAGCCAGGAGAAAACTGAAGTATGGGCAAGCAGAAACAGAAAGTATGTTGGGGGTTTTTCAAGCTGCTGTAAAAAAGGAAATATCTAAGTGTTTTGATGGCTTGTATGCGTGTTCACACACATGTTTTGGGTGGAGGAAAAGGAGGTGGAAAGATGAGAGGCTGCATGGTTTTCTTGAGCATTGATGATAGACAGTGCTGGTAAAAAACAAACAAACAAAGAACAGGAAGGAAAGCTAGAGACTGTTTTTAGCAAGTTTGGCATCTAGGATGTGATACCCCAAAGACCACTGGAGATGCAAGAGTGAACAGAAGACAAGGCCTCAGGTTTGAGAGGCAGATTCAGGCTTTGTTAGCATGCAGATGATAGCTCACCCTCTATTTTAGAGGGGAAAGGGGAGGGGATCATGAACTGAGTGCTGGGAGAGACTGAGAGAATAGGCAGGAGCTTCTCAGTACCTAGCACAGTGGTTCTCAATTAGGGCGCCATGAGACCCTTTCAGGTATGCCATGGTGTGGGCTTTGTCTCTACTATCGTGGCCAGCAGGAACTGTGCCATGCACCTCCGGCAGAGCCAGATTGAAAACAGTTTTGGGAGGAGTACCTCAGTCTTTCCTGGTCTGACCTCACATGGTAGAGCAGGTGGAACTTTCCTGGACATCTCTATAGAGCATGTGGTGCCACACCTGGAAGAGCTGCAAGGAGAGTGTGCGCTCCTGCCACAGCTTTTTTTCCAGTCTGGCTCTGCAGAAGACACATGGCATAGTTCTGCTTGGCTATGGTGAGGACAGCAGCACTCCTGTTAAGAACCGCTGCCCTAAGGACAGGGAATTCACTTAGATGCTGACAGAACACATGATATTGGTATGCTTACGGAAAAAAAAAGGATTCATTATGACCAGCCTTGTTTCCATGCAAACACAGGATGCCTTTTAAAAGAGTTCACAACCTCTTATTTACTATAAATCCAACAGATGAAAAATGTCATTACATAAACTAGGACAAATCAGGTCCTTTCAAATCACTGTATTTATTCAAATCCAAGATGAGGGTCCCATTCCATGGGAGCTCAACCCATGCCTGACAGTAAGCAGAGGTTGGAGCAAAAAGGGGGCAGAGGCTGCAAGGTGCAAGCAGGGGCGCAGGCAGCAGGGGTACAGTTACTCCACGGGTGTGACAGGCTTCAGGGGAGACAAGATGTGGTGGGGCAGGGGTCAAGGAGGCTGCCTGCTCCCCCCCCCTACCTATCGCACACTCCTCTGCTGCTGATTTCCATGCTGCCCTGGTGGGATGATGAATTTAAGATGACTCTGTTTATTAGATTGTATACTGGAAAATTATAACAAATTTATCATTTTTCCATTTATAGAATCTTATTATTGGGGAGGTGTCTTAAATTTAAAGTGATCTTGGATTCAGATTAATGTGATAATTTAATTTAGAGTATTTCCCTTACAGCATTCCCATTCATATCAACAGGAGTCTTTCACAAAGAGGAAAAGTAGAATAGCACATTATTTTGGCTTTGGGGCTTCATTCCTATCTCAGCTAACATGGTGTAAATCAGGAGTAGTTCCATTGCAACTTATTCAAAATGTCTTGTGTAAGCAACAGAAAAATCAAATTTGTCTGGGGGAAAGGGTTGTTTTTTTGTTTGTTGTTTGGTTTGTTGCTTATTGACAACAGCCAATAATTGCATTGCTGTTGTCTTATGCTGGTGTGGGAAAAGGAAAATGTTAAGAGCCTGGTAAATTGAATAAAGAGTTATCTGGTAAGCTGAGGCAGTACAACAGTGGTTTTCATCTGGGGTGCTGCCAAATTAAAAAAAAGAACAAGTTATGGAAAGGTGCCCTGACTGTCAAAAGGTTGAGAGCCATTGATCTGGTACAATGAGATCCTAATCCTTCTCTAGGATTCCTTAGGGTAGCGATAGAAAGATGGGGTTGGGAGGGACCTCAACACTCATGTAACAGAACTGCACTCATGAATGAAGAATGGATTATTCTTAAGCTATCCTGCACTGATGTCTCTCCAGCCTCTTCTTCAGGAAAACAGAAGCCAGGACAAAGAATTAACTTACTAGATGAAACTAGGGACCAGATGGCGGAGGAGGATATGATATAGGCTTAACACTTAGCCAGAAGGAGGTCAAGTGAAACCCTGTGATGGAAAGATGCCTTAGAGTGGAAGGAGAATTAAAAATGGATTGCAAAGGCTGAGTAAAAAGCCTGAGAGATGTTGATCATAGTAGGTAGAATAAGCAGGAGGAAGGTGAAGGGACTACAAAGATGGAAAGCAAAGCAAGGCCATACACGGAGGCACATTGATTGAAGGGTTGTCACACTCAAGAAAGATTATTTTAATTGTGGGGTTTCAAAGATACAGTCCCTGGAGCCACATCATCTAGCCCCTGATGCTGGCATTGGGCAAAGCCAGTTTGGGACCTTCCAGCTGCATGCTGGACCTAGCGTCTACATTGCCTGCTCTGGCCAGTCTGGGCTTGTGCCGCATGTCACGTGTTCTGACTGGTTCAGAATATGAGCCACATGTTGTGCCTGCTCCAGCCAGTCTAGGCCTGGCACTGTGTGTGGTGCTGCCCCAGACTGGCCAGAGCAGGCACTGGTTCTGGCATGCAGTGGAGGGGGGAGGGATCTGGGTCCCCTGCATGCTTGATCTGGCACTTGCTGTAACCAGTCCATGACCTGTGCTTCATGCATTGTCCAGCCCAGACCAGCCAAAATGGGTGCCACAGTCCTAGACCAGCTAGAGTGGATGCTGCAGGTGCTTAATCTGGCATACAGGGGGCAGAGGGTCCATGGGCCTGATCTGGCTGTTGTGAGCAGCCTGGGGCTGGCTCCCTGCCCATGGAGTAGAATTGCTCATCGGGCCTGTGGGGCCATATGAGTTTGAGACCGCTGCTATCTATGGAACATAATAGAAAGGTGTCCAAAAGAGAAGACTATGTGAGGATTCAAAAGAGTTGGAGGTGGAGGTCAATGTTATTTGGTGGAGAGCTCTTAGGGCTCAGACTGAGGAGGAAGTTGGTGATCCAATGGATTGGAGATTGGCTGTGGGTGTCGCAGGAAGGAGTGCTGATGGAGGTGAGCAGGGAAAAAGGGGGATTTGAGGAGTAAGAAACCAGTGTCTGTTGAAAGAGTGGTCAAGGAAAAAGAAATGGAGGAGCTGAACTGTACCTTAGTGTTTAAGAAAAAATTGTGAAAGATGATACGCAGAAGACCAGGACTGTGGAAGCTGGAATTGCCAAGTATGTTGGTAGACAGTTTGGAAAAGGGGAGTAAGGTGTGTGGGAAGTGGATTATGGCCATGGAAGACCACTAGCACTAGATGTTGGGGATTGGGGTGGGCAGGAGGACCAGAGGATGGATATCCATCTTGAAGAAAGTCAATAAAACCCTAATGCTCAATCAGTAAAGTATAGAGAGACCACCATAGGGAAAAGGTGACTGCTGAAGCATACGGAAGATTTGTTAAGGTTTAAGGTGAGGTTAGAAGGCCAAAGGAATGGGAAATGAAGGTCTTGTCTAATTATGTCACATTTAAAATTGGGGTAGGGTTTTCAGAGGGACAAAAATGAGAGAGAAAAGAGAGGAATGGGAGGGAGAGTTGAGTGGCAGGCGGTTCAAAGCAAGGAGGAGGAAGGATATGGTTAATGATGTATGTATCTTAACTGGTCATATTGAGGTGATGATGTAGCTGTGGTGGTCCAGGAAAAAAGAGAGGCAAGAATTTTTGTGAGTGATTATCTTTTATTGGACCAACTTAAAAGATACCACCCACAAATATTCTTACCTCTTCTATATCTAAATTGAACAGGAACTCAGGATAGGATAAACATTGCTCTTCACCCTTAAATGTCTAATCTGTAGAGGATGTGGTGGTGGAAACAGGGACTTGCTTTAGAAATAAATCAGTCATTCTGCAACGCAACCAGCTTCATGTTTGAACTGATCATTTATCTGTGTGGCTAGGAGGAGCCAGTGTCATTGCAGCAGTTTAGCTCTACTTTGGAAGGAAAAAAACCTGAAGTCTGCATAGACAAGAAAGAGTTAATGCTTGTCGAGCATTATTCTTACACAAATTGAGTCCAGAGCACAGCAGCAGCCTCTCCAGTGGGAGCAGATGCTAGGCAGTGATGCAACTTGTGTTATTTACTTAGGCCTCTGTAGTGACCTCAGAGGGCTGCAGACAAAGGATACACTTATCTAGAGGTAGGTAGACATACTGATATCTTCTTTATTCTGTCCTTTTTCTTTCACTAGTAGCAGGTTCCTGTAATCATTGTATGTGCGGCAGCAAGCAACGTTTATTTTTAGCATTGATTGCAAAAGCACAGGTGAACCAGTTTGGATTTTTTCTCTTTTTCTGCAACCAGGAACGTTTAGAAGCTATGATGCGCCGTTCCCTTGAACGCAGTCAGCAGCTGGAACAGAAACAGAAGCGATGGTCGTGGGGAGGAGCACTGGCTGCAGGCTCAGGGAGAGATGGTGAGTGTAACAGGCTGTCTGCATTGCAGATCTTGAAGTGCAAAACGCATACAATTTTTAAAAATAGAAGAAAGGTACTTTTAATAGGTACAGTGAGATTGTATGGGCTGTTGACAAGTTGCATGAATAAATGCTTTGTAATCACCAGGTTTCCTGTCTGTGATATCTCTTGGGAAGAAAGATCACTCCTAAGTTTGTGAATGCAGGTCATTTTAATAGTGCAATCAGAAACTGTTTTGAGGATGGCAAAAAAATAAAATGCAAAAATAATTATAAAATATATATATTTAGCAAATTAAATAATCACCAGGGGGGCTGAGAGCTGTCCAAGATTTTGCAAAAAATGATCTATTTTTGGTTTTGGCATCTCTAATAGCTCACAGGGTTTTCTAGATGATTATGCAGCATTTACAGTTCCAAATAGATTTTTCCACATTTTTAGCTACTGATCTTTTATTTTGGCTTCAAAGCAAATTATTTCAGAACCATGTACTGCTTTTTGTTTCAAAAAGCATGTTTTTTGTTTAAATCATTTATGTTCATTTAAAATTTCAAGGTTTTTAATATTGTTTTCTATAAAAACCCCCAAAATCTTGTGTTTAGATAATGAGAATATCTCTGCTGCTGTCTTCTAAACAGAGTGTAAATATATGTAATAGTTCTTGCTAAAATAAAAATGATCTGGGTGTATTTCACAGTATAATTTTCATGGTACGTCATTTAATAATTAGAAAATAAATGTACTTGCAGCATGATGAAAGCAATTCTTACACTTCTAGAAAGGCACCTTTTTATTTATAGCTTAAACATATTTTTAACCTATTAGGTAATTTCTTTTACCTCTCTGCTCTGATTTTTTTTCTGCTGTGTAGGTGAATCAGAAAATACCCCACCCCCTCTAGGTTTAGTTGCCAACACCCTTCCTCCAGACCCTGTGACCTCTACTGCTGCTGCTGATTCCTACAATGGTATTTCAGAGAATCACAGTACCATAGTGTCTCGTTTAATTGTTCTAATCACTTAAATCCATCCACTGATCTTGTCCTTCCTAACCACTGTTTTTCTTATTATTTCAGTCTGGTATTCTACAGCATTATTGTTAGAGATGTGGACCAGTTGTCTTTTTATTTTAATTTTGTCATAGTGAAGCAGTGCATGCCTTGCATTTCAGCACAATGGAGACATTTCATAATTTGATCACTAACTGTGGACTTCTAATTACTCAGTAAATTCCCATATTTGTGAACTTTGTGGGCACAGATACATGTTTTTGTAGTTTTTGTGTGCATATCTTTCGAGTTGCTTGTGCAGAAGAGACCTACTGGGGTATAGGTTCTATTATATATAAACATTTCAACTATACAATACATGTAAATAAAATATGCTACAAGTAATCATAACATACCTATGTTTCCCAGTATCTCTCTTTACATTGCCCCTCCCCCAATTTTTTTAAACTAATAAAATCTGTTTAAAGAGCCTTGTTGTTTCAGGATGTTGAATGGTTTCTTTTCATATTAATAGTGGTTACAAACACACACTGAGATTGTCTTGAATGTATTTGTTTTTCTTCTGTATGTTAGATCAGAATTTTTTTCAAAGATCTGTGAAATGAGATATTATGCTGTTAGAGTACTGATGGCATAATATTTTGTTGCTTGTGTTTTCTTACGTTGTTATCCTGATATTTTGAAAACCTCACCAAGCCAATCTATTTAGTAACATTTCCCCCTTGCCCAAGATGGGCACAGTGATGGTGCCTGTAAAGACAGGCATGTATACTTACAAAAATATTTTCATGCACCCATTGGCAAATGTTTATACCAAGCAATAATTTATGAATAAATAAGAGATTTGGACATGCACATTCTTGGAGCAGGCTTTGCATCTACCTTTTAAAAGAAGGAACCTAAGGAATTATATTGCTTACTAAGCAGACAGAGTTAAATTTTGCAAGTCTCATTCAGGAAAGTTGCAATGAAACAACTGGGAATCTTACCTAAGGACTGCAGGATTGGGACCATGTATATGAGTTCCTAGTTTGATTTTTTTTTCTATTAGGAGAAACAAAATAAAGTAAACAAATGAAATCTCTAAACTACTCACTATGCTTGTGACTTCTGACCATTGCACAAAAAGCGGTGCATATGGGAGTTCACTGCAACGTTAATTGGGCATAAGTTCATGCTGCTTGTGTGATTGGTGTGTAGGTGTTACACACCCTTGCTACAACTTTATTCATTTGGACTTAATATGAAATGACTAGCGTCTGGCACTACAGAATGCAGGGTATTGTAAAATTGGAATGTTAAAAGCACAAGGAGAAAAATTCTACCCCAAGCTGCATCTCACTGAGTGCTACTACTACAGCAGTCAGAATAGGATTAGCTTTTATGCAATATTCAGTGCCCCAGATCAGTGACAAGGTCCGTGACTACAAAATGAGAGGTTAATTTTGGGAGTTTTCCACACTGTGGTGTCAATATAAATATCTTCACTGCGTCTCTCTGCAGCATGTGACAAACTTTCAGCTTCTACAATGAATCTGCCAAAGCAAATGGAGTCACCAATCAGTAAGCGACTCTCCTCCTCCACAGCGGCAATAACACATTCCCCTGACAGAGGCAAGTGAATATGCTGCTTATGGTCTCTTATGAGCATCAACTCTCCTTCCATATTTAAAGTGCACTCTCCTGTCCATAGATGTATTTGTAGTTGCTTTGTGGCTTTTGCAGGTATCGAGTCAAAAGTTATTGACGTGGCAAGCTAAAAAGTAATAAAAGATCCAGTGATATTAAGTACATGAAATAACTTTCTTGCCCATCTAGGACAATGTTGCCAGGTTGCAGACCCCAGGTATGGAAGTAAATGCTGAACTGGTAATGTAAATCTTTGTCATGGAGAAGGATATGCCCTGTGAATCCTTCTGGGCCTTTGGTAATGAGTTTGGCTAAATTATGGGCATTGGACAGAAGTGGCAGGACAGAGAAAAATGCTGGATTAGTTAAAGGGTGTGGATTAGTTATTTGAGATGGGAGAACTCACACTGAAGTATTAGGCTTCTGCATTGTAAATGCATCAGTAATAATTCAACCAGTAAGACTCAGGTATTGTATTTTTCACTGGCTGTTTTCCATGTTGGCACATAAAAAGGAGCATGACTTGGCTACAGGTAGACTACAAGCCAAAAATGTTTGGTTTGTGATGTTTTAGCCGTGTTAAGAAACAATTTTAAGTAGTGAATAGATATGTTCTACTTTGTGGTATTGGCAAAAATATGATATGAGCCTGTTGGACATTTTCACTTGTGTCCAGAGTTCTTAAGTCCTTTAACTTGACTTCAAGGCCTAATCCATGAGAAGTTCGGCAGAAGATAATCATCTTGCAGGATTAGTGGCTAATGACCATAAAGGACTGAGGATTTGTCCTTCTCTGAGCTACTGCTTTTTAAAATACAGGGGTTAGAATATAGTGACTGAAGTAAGAAAGGACTTTTGAATGTTCTTCAGTTTTGGATCCATATTTATCAAAGGACTCTATGATCTAGAAGTTATTGCAATAGATGGTTCTATAAATGTGTATCTTCGGGTTATATTTATACAATTCTATAGTCTTAGGGTACTGGACACACAGCATTTCTACACTGGCATAATTAACATTCATTTTGTATATTGATGTGTAAATTATACTGAGATCTGATGGAAACAGACACCCACCTCTTTTCGGGTAGCTGCATATAGTAGGCATTATTACAGCACATTTCCCCAGGGGCTAAGTACAGACAGTCAAAAAGCCCGAGGCAGAATCGATTCAATCTAGGCAACTTCCTCTAAGCTGCGTAGATTGAATCAATTGAACTAGTGTTCAGTTTTCAATTGGGAAAGGCAAGGGGAGGCCTGCACTGACCCAGGCCAATAGGTGCGGGGCACTAGAACATGTCTTCCAGCCTGCTGGCCATTGCCAACCTACCCAAGTGTCCCCAGTTGGCTCCCCAGTACATGCTTCCAACCCCCTGCTGTCCCCCCATGGGTGCTGGCCCACCATTGGGGGAGCCTCCCCCTCAGGGGGTTTCCTCCAGCCTAGGTTCCCCAGCCCCGGCAGCCCTGGGGAGCTAAGGGGAATTCCCCCCTGCCCCTTTCCAGCTGCTGATTGCTTCAGCGGCTTTCAGAGGAGGGAGAAGGAGGAATTCTTCCACTCCCGTGCAAAAAGTTTTGCCTCAGATTCGCAGCAGCTCAAGCAAAACTGAGTGTGGAGGAGCAGGAGAATTTCCCTCTGCGACCTAAGCCTGCCCCAGGCTATCCCTGCAGAGTTGCAGCAGCTCAGGCAAGCAGCCCTAGGACTGGGGAGGGGAAGAATTGTCCTTAGCTCCCTGGGGCTGCCCTAGGCTGAGGGATCCTGGGCTGGGGTGGAAGGAAGCCCCCCAAGGCAGGGGCTCCCTGGTGCCCCTATGCTGGGCTGCATGGGCAGGCACCTGGCCAGGAGGACTTCTTCTCCCTCCCTCCTGTGGCAGTAGCTGAAACAATTAGCAGCTGGGAAGGGGGAGGGTTGCAGGGGTCCAAAATCGCCCACTCGAGGGGCTTTCCCTCCCCCATGTACTGTAGACCCTGGGTAGGGGGGTTTAGAGTATCTGTTCCCCTGCCCCCGCATCCCTATGGGCTGACAGATACAGGCAGGAAAGGAGCAGAGGGGTGAGGCTGGAGCAGACAGCATAGCCTGGGTGTGCTGTGGGGCTGTGAGTTAACTTGAACCAGGAAGGGATCTGGGACAGAAGTTTCATAAACCGGTTTGGCCTAAATCAGTTAAGTCTGATACTACATCCAACTGGGTTTATCTTAAACCGGTTCTGGCCATTTTGAAAGTGGTTTGTGTGCACTGAACTTCTGTTCTGTTACAGGTTTAAACCAGTTTCCGATCTCTTACTGGTTTATGTCTAACTTCTGTCGGTAGCCAAGGTGGCAAGGGAGCAAAATGGCTGCTCTGAGATAAATTGTGGACACATGAGAAATACCCTGATGTAATGTATGCTGGTGTTGTTTTGCCCTTGATTTTTCCTGGGATATTCATTGCTGGACTTGTATAGAGCTATACAGCATATCAGCTTCTTTTTTACATGCTTGTAAACATGTGTGTCCAGGGCCTTAGCTTATACTTATGAAGAAGACAGGAGGGAGGGCATATTGTGTAAAGTAAGATTTATAGAACAATGACACTTTGAGTATGTTAAATAGTTTACAGTAATCTTTGCATACACCTCAGCAGCTGCACTGTCAAGCCAGTATCTCATCTATTTATTCTGTTGGGCAAAGCTTTTTTTCATGCTGAGTCATGAAAGCAACCATTTTGCAGAACTGAAATATTTTGTCTATGAAGAATAGCCTTAACCTACTGTGTTTGCTGTACAGGTTGGAAGATAATTTAGGTGGCTTAAAAATGATAAAGAACCCCAAAACCAATTAACAGGAGAATTAAATTCTTTTAAAATATTTTTAGATTACAAGCATTATATTTTTTCTCTTTGTTTCATGTTATCATTTTAAAGGTTTTATTTATAATTTTTATAACTGTTTTTTGTTGAATTTCTTTTTGCATGTTAAATTTATTTTATTTGCTCCCATCCTTCAGCTCACCGCATGCACCTTAGTCCAATGGAAAATTTTATTGTTTCTCGACTCTTGACTCCTACACACTCTTCTTTAGCCAGAAGCAGAAGCACACTAGTGCTGTCTGAGCAGTACAGTGACTCAGGTAAAAACAAAAAAAAAGAAAAGAAAAAATGCATTTTGAAATTGTTAAGTTTTGTTTAGCTACACTTACGTTATTTCTTAAATCAATTCATTTTTTATTATAATTTTACTATCCACTTCTGGTAAAATGTGTCAGAAGGTTAAAAAATATTTACATGTCTGTTGTTCTGGGTTTTTTAAATAATTGAAATAATTGTTGGAAAATGAAACCTAATGGAACAATTCATAAGGTATTTTGAGTTCTGCATCCAAGTGTCTCAGTTATTAGAGCAAAGGATAAAAGCTCTATATTAGCACATTAATATTGCATCTTAATTTTCTTCAGACAAACAGTATCCAAAATAAAAACTAGCATTCAAAATATGTTGTTTCATCCCTATTGAGTTTTATTGAGGCTTCAGTTGTTATTTACTGTGCAGTCACTTCTGTTTTTTTAAAGGAGCAGATGATAAAAGTTTTTATGAATACTAGGGCATACTTCAGAAAAAGAAAAACAAACTAGATGGAGTAGAGAATGTTACTTCTAGTAATTAACTTCCTTCTTTTTTAAGGGATTAAATGTTAGTGATACCATTAACTGTGCTCTTCTGTATGTTGTCAAGCCCATGTCAAGAGATGTTGGTTCTGTTCTTGCTAATACTTGCATGTGATTAACTTTATGCATGTGAGTAGTCCCATCTTTAAAAATACTTCTGAATAAATGTTTGCAGAATCAGGGAAAGTTTTTGTAAATACACTTTCTGCAAAAGAAAATACTCACTTTTCAGGACAAAACTGTAGCATGGTAAAAAAAAACCTTTGTCATCTCTTAGTCCCCCATTGCATGGCTTAAGGGTACTCATCTTTTATACCTCTGATATTAATATAAAGAGAGAGTTTATAACAAAGCAAACAAAGGAAAAAATGCCCTCAACTTTTTCCTTTTGGTATTTTAAGACATTCATTAAATGTTGTCTTTTTGCCTGTTTCTACATTAAACAGTATTGTATTTTGGAGGCTGCAGTATGCAGTGTTTTTGATCCATAAAAAACCTTGAATTATTGTTCAGAAAGATACAAAAGGAAGGCCAGCATAGAATGAGGTCATGGTTGCTACTGTAAATTTAGAATGTGCTACTAAGATGAAACAGAATTGGTGCTTTTAATTTCATGGATTTTTATGTAGTTTTATGGTTTTAATAATCTGTAGAGAAGAAATGTAGAGATCATTTCTTGATTTGTTCTTTGCTTATTTACATCCAAACCTTCACTCCCTCGCAAACACACACACACCCACACACACACCCTTTGCTGCACCATCTTTAAAGGACATAGACTGTGCGTCATACCAGACTGGAACCTGGATTGCAGTTCTCCTTTCCTCTAAACTGAAGCAGCAGAGTGCTGATTCTTGGAATCGTCTTAGGGCCCACCCTCCTCTCACCCTCCATTTGGAAGGGAGGAAAACTGCTGCTCAGATTACAGAAAACAGAAACACACAGGATTTCTGTTCATGGTCCTGCCATGATTTACCAGTAAAATAAGAGAACCTTGATGCTTAATGTCAAACAAGCAGTCAAACAAACAATTATACATTGTTAAAGGATGTAAAGGGGTAGTAAAGAGTAAGAATGCATAATTTTGTGGTTGTTTTAGCAGTTTCTCTGTCTTTGCAGAGTGACATCTTTCAGAATTAGCACTGTGGCCTTTAGACTGCCTTAGTTTCAATAGCTTAATAAATACGGAACTAGGTACTGTTTTTTCATGTAGTCTATGCTGGGTTTCATTTCTGAGATTTAGTGTCTCTTTGTGCATGCCCAGGAATTAGGGTCTTCATTTCAGTGCCCATTTTGAGACTTTTTCTAGAGCAATTATTCATAACAGCTGAAGTAAAAATAAATCCCTTATACTGCAAACAGGAAGTTTCCCCAGATTCCCTAGAGTATTGCCATCTTGCTGGAAAAGAGTCAAGAAAAAGAAAAAAGTTTTGATTATATTTAATTTTAAAATTACAGAATGTATAATTTTATAATACCGGACTACGAGAGGTTATGGAAAATTTGTTCTGTTCCTTGAAAATGGATGATGCACAGTAACATTATCCCACAATCAGTCCCTTCATGATTAAACAAAATTAGTTATGTCCCAGTGGTGTTGATTTTTGCCAGTGTTAATTATGAAACATACATATAGTTGATCTAGTTCTTCATGTTTTTTAAATATTTGCAACTTAGCAACCAATATAAGCAAAATACTGTTTTTATTTATTTAGCAAATAAATACCAAACAGATAAAAAAGACCTAGAGTTGTACTATGGTGCATTTAATCAGTGAGCTCTACTCAAATTCAAGTAACTACTGACTTTTAGGAACAAAATTGTGCATGTGATAAGTCTTGTATCATCAGATGCTTTTAAAAATTTTACTTGGGTGTTCTAAAAGAATCTAGCACTTGTCTTTTCTAGAAGTCTAGATGCTTTTGAAAATGTTATCTTTTGTCTTTGAAAACTACCCTTTTTTTGAAATACTTATTGAAATGTGACCTAAATATGACTATCCCACTCTTTTAAAAGTATATTTAGTGAAAAGAGGTTTGCTTTCTTCAGAAGAGAAAAGCAGCACAAAACTCCATTAAACTAATTGAAAACATGTTTGGGTGTTACAGTGATCTTTAGAGTTGTGGTCTTTTTGAAAATGCTTTTGATACCATAAAAATGATTTAGCAAAGGAATTTTTTGGAAATGTGAGGCCATACAAAAAGTATAGTATCTTAATGCAATTAGGTATCTCTTGAAACAAATCTTAGATAATGTTATTTGCCATATCTAATGTTGCTGTAACTTAAGGCTGTGCTGTTTTCTCCTTTTCCTTACTTCTTCTGTCTGTGTTCCCCTTTGCTCTTGCTATTGTACTATAACTCTTTAGTATTCCATATCTGTCCTCGTGTAGCACCAGCTAGTCCTATAAAATCTCCCTACAAGCCTTCCCCCACCCGAAGCACAGAAAAAAAGAAGGCGACATCAGCTTTTGCTTCTGATGCCTCAAGAGGGGCAGCGGCAGCTGAAGTTACGCAGGTGGGTTGGAATAGGTTTTAATTTCGGTTTTGGGTTAAGTTGATTTAAGGTTAAGTTGATTTAAGTTGTCTTGTTTCATTTTTATTTACCAAAGATTGATGTGCCATAACTTCTGTAAGACAGCTAAATCAGAGAAAGCTTTCTCTGTATCTGCTGCTGTATTTGCCCTGCTGTAAGTTTTTAATACCTACTAGGAAACAGTGCGTAGCTTCTATTAAGGAACACTATTTGGAGTGGTGTTTCTGTGTGCTGGGTATCTCCATTTCTGACTCTGAAACATATTTTGTCTCTGAGTTGTCTTATGAAGCCAGTACTTCTGGGAATGGGTGTGTAGCAAATAGTGTCTGTCTATAAATCTGTTCACTGTCCTAGTTGCTTGGCAAGTTTTCCCCATACTCCTGAAACTTGCATAGTATATTAGCAGCATCTCTAGTTTACACCGTTCAAGTTTCACTTTTTCTCTGTCGATATAAGTTTATTTAACATTCCGCTGTTGGTAATTTTGCATTTTCTGTAAAAACAAAGAATATAAGATAACTTAGTTTATACATGCCTACACATTGCTAAGCATGTTTTTAAAAAGGTGTGCTGACATTCAAGAATTCTTTCCCATAGTGCCCCATATTTGGTAATAACAAATAGGTCTAGCATGTCCTAGAGCAGTTGTTTATAAGTAATTTTGAAATGTTTCTCCATTGCTTGCTGAAGCTCTTGCAGGGTAGCATACTACTGTGCTGCTCCACTAGTATTTCTTTATGATATGCAGTGTTTAACAGCATTTGTATACTGCGTGTAAGTGAAAAGTAAAAGTGCTTATGCTCAAGGTAGAATGATCTGGCACTTCAGTTGTGTACCGGCAGAGGCGTAACAACTCACCCAGGCACCCGGGCCAGCTGTCACACACAGGGCTGCTTCTGCTTGCTGCGGTACCTTGCGATTGTGACTGCAGTCTTACAGTTTAGCAGCAGCCATCTCTTTCCAGCCCTTTCCCTCCCACAAGTCAGGACAGCTGTCCTGGGTACCCTGCCCTACCTACACCACTGGGATTTAGAGAACTTTAATTTTGTTTGTGCATTTGTGCATATCTATTGATATTCCCTTTGTTAATTCTTTATATTGACACTTTTCTCTTAATTACAAAAGCTAAGTAAAGGAACCTGAATTTGTTGTTCTAGGCTGAAAAGATAAAGAAAGAGAAGCGACCCACAACTCCTGTTTCATCATCTGGCTTGGGTTCCCCTCTGAGAAGATCAGATTCTCCTGCAGGCATGTCCAAAAGATCTGCATCACCTGCAACACCCAAGTATGAATATTTTTATGCTTGGTCCAGTCAGTGTGCCCTCTTAGCCATAGGATAACCCTGAATGGCCCAGGCGCTTCCCTAGGAATGTGAAATAAAACCTGATAAATTTTAGTTCTAATTTTTATGTATGATCTGTGCTAAATCCTTGTAATAATATTTTCCTCCCATTCTCAGGTCATGATTTCTGCTACCAATCTGGCTTTTAGTTGGTAATTTATGTTAAATCTAGTTTGTTTGAAATGTATCATGACTTTAGTTTTGTAGCATGTTTTTGAGGCCTTTTCTGTCTAATGGAGAGACATTGGCAGAGTACAAATGCTTTGTTTCAGGCCTTGTACAGATACGCAGTTTCTCCTGGAAAAATTGCTACTCTTCCAAAAGAAACCATGAGTGTACAGGGGTTTTAAGCTTTTTCTCCCTGGTAAAATGGCCAGTCTAGCATCAAAATAACCTAGGAACAATAGGGTTTTTCTTGGGATAAAGGTTTCTCTTTGGATAGCAAATGTCTGTACATGCTATGGCTTCTCTCAGAAGAGAACATAGTCCTCCAGCTTCTCCCCCACCCTCCTAGGAAGAAAGTGTGTCATTTGCTGGACTCTGGTGCTCCAGAACACTGCCCCTTTGCAATCCCAACATTGTATTGTGGGGAAATGCAGGTTGACTATGGGCAGTCTGGGTCAGTCAACCAGGGCTGCCCTATGCACAGCTGTGATTTGTCACCAGGCAGACTGAGGAAGCCTGCAGAACATACTTAGATGTGTACACAGGTACTCTCCCTGCGAGCTGCAAGCTCTGTACTCTTGAGGATGTCAGCATTTGAATATCTGTACACGTGGCTATGGGTAAATTTCTATACCTGGATCGCAAACCTGGGAGGTTATTTGAATGTGTATACTCAACCTCAGTCTACACCAGTGGGACCCAATCCATCTAGGCTCATGGGTTGGATTAGTGTCATAGGACTGATTGTGGGCCAGATCCAGCATCTGTGGACCAGCTCCATGTCCCAGATCTGGCTGTGGGCTGGCCCAATTTGGGATCTGGGGCCATGTCATCCAGCCCACGGCACTCCTCTCAGATCCAGAAATGTGGTAGCAGGAGAGTGATGGCAGTGTGGGTTGAGCACCACTGCTGTATACATTTAACCAGTTGCACTAGCTCTTGCTGACTATGTAGTCTGGTACACAAATAATCCATCCCCTATCCCCTAAATAAATATATCCTTAATTTCTTTAAAACTTGATCCTTTGAGTTCAGTGTATTTTAATAATTAATTTCATTACTGACTGTGACAGTTATGTGCCTCTTGAAACATTCGTACCTCAGTCTTGTGCTTTTTCCTACTTTGCACAAAGGAATAGGTATTTTTCTAAACTTGACTTGTTAATGTTGCAGTGGATAGTCCAGTTTTTGACACAGCTTCCTCAACAGCAACTCAGATCTTCCCTTTCTATTTCAGTCTTTTTGGCAGGCAGTCAACAGAGGAGAGTTATGCACAAGTTTGAGTTTTATTAATCAGAAAAAACCATAAAAAATAAAGTTTCTCAAAGTTCTGAAAAGCAGCCTGACATTTTATTCTTCAGTACCATTAGTGCACATCCCTTATCTTCCAGGAACATTTGAGCAATCACAGAATCCTCATGGTTCATCCCCATTCTGTTATGGAATAATAGACCTTCAGTGCTATTAAAGATACAGTAGTGAGCTCACACCCCTGTTAGGGAAGTAATATAAATTTGGATTGAGTCAAACCCTCACAACAGTGAGGAGAAAAAATTGCAGAGGATCCAGTGTAAGCATCACTTTGGACTGCTGTGTGTGTGATGGCATTAAAAAACATAAAGAAAAATTGGGGAGAGGGGGTATAAAGTATATGATGTATATACATTCTAAACAATTAGAGCATATGTTATATAATACTGTACTTATCTAAATTGATGATTTTTCTTTCATGGAATACAACCCTATCTTTTCCATCCACACCGTCCAAATTTTATTACTGATCTGTATGTTTGTAACCTTTTACTGTGACTCAGATGAGATGATGAGATTGCTGGTCAATAGATGCAAAACTGTAATAATACTTGAGGAATCTTCCATTTGAATTTACAAACATTTTTTCTTAAGAAAAAACAATCATTTTAACTTGGGTAACTTTTTAATATAAATATTCAATTATCTTAATTTTAAGTCTGAGTGTCTTGGACATTTTTGTGTTGTTATTAGAAACCACATGGTACAGTTTACATTTCATATAAATAAATATATAACTTGTACATAGCATGTCTCTCTCATATCTCCTCTCTGTCATCTTTTCTCTAAACTGAGAAGTCTTAGCATAATAGTTTCTCCATGTATAGAATTCTCTTCTTGTTCTTTATCATCCTTGTTGCCCTTTTTGGAATCTCTTCTATTTCTATTGTATCCCTGTGGAGATGGACATCCCAGAACTGTATTTAGTATTCAGTGGGTATACTTCTGACTTATGCATTAGCATAAAAATATTTTCTGTTTTGTTTTAATGCCCTTAATAATTCCTAACATTCAGTTTGTCCTTTTGGCTGCTGTTGAACACTGAGCTGATGTTTTCAGAGAACTATTCACAATAGTTAAAATGTAGGACATAATACTCCTGCCTTTCTAATATCCTTCCATTATTTTTTTCCTCAAAATTGTTTGTGGCATTTGCTTCAGTTTGAGGGATAGTTGCTTGAAGGACGTTTAAGCATAGGAAAGTAATATGTTGTTTTATTATCCATTTATTTAACAAAGCTGCTTTAACCAGCCTTTCTAAATAGAAAAGTAAAAGAAAGCAATTAACTGAAAGAACTTGAACCAAGAAAACAGGCAGACTGTAGAAAAGGTTTGGAAGGATAAAATACACAAAATATATTGAGAGGGGCAAAATCTTTATTGAAGCAGCAGGGTTTTTAAAGATTTGAGTTTAGACAGAGATACCAAGAGAGTCAAGAAGATTGAGCAAGAAAATATTTTGACACAAAAAAGAGAATAAAGGAGCTACCAAAAAAGCACAGGAGGTATTATATACAAAACAGGAGGCATTATATTATTGTGACATTGTCTGAATTTAGAGATGGGTCATAAAGTACAAGAAAGAACCATAATCTTAGATTTGATGTGCAGGGAAAGTACTGAAGTAAGTTGATGGAGTGGTGTAATATGGCAAAACCAAGGAATTCTTTTTAACTTCATAATTGCCAGTGGATATTGATGGCATTAAGTGCTTTTGTCCTACAAATCCTTTTCCTAGTCAATAATACTTAGCACTTTAATAGCTCTCTTCATCTTCAAAGATCTTTACAAACATCAGCTAATTTTCAAATAATCCTCTGAGAGCATGTTAGCATTACTGCCCTATTTTATAGATTGGAAGAGTGATTAAGGGACATATTTTCTTGCTTTTTACTCAAGTTAATGGTCCCAGTGACATCAAGCAAAGCAGAGCTTAGCCCTCAGTGACTTGCCATGAGACAGAGATGGAACCAGTGCCAAGACCAGTTATTGAAGTCAGGGGTTCTGATTAGTTTTGTGGCCTGAAGAAAAGACTCTCTCTCTCTGATTAATATCTATATTTGAGAGAGGTGACCTTGATACTAATGGTGGTTCTTCTTGGGGCATTTCCTTCCTGATCTGTAAGCATTTACCAGTACTTTCTGGCTTGTGTTGCTAATCCAATTTAGAATTTAAATATTTTCTGCCAATTACATTTAGTAGTCCAAATTCTGCAATTTGATCCATATAGATTCTTCCACTTGTGTAACTTTCCACTATAGCTGGTGAGACTTTGTATGAACTACAACGCTCTGGCTGCATGAATCAAATTTCAGGAGCCTGACTACGTATAAAAATAAATGTGAAGGGATGAATTGATATATAATAGTATTATCATTCGTAATATTGTAAACATATGTTTTTATAAAATGTATAAAATATGCATAATGGCACAGATATTTATTCCTTTAAAAACAGTGTTGATAACATCCCTTTAATAATCCCTTTAATCATAATTAAAAAAAGCCTCAAGCCTCAAGTAGAGACTGTGCTGGTGGAAGAGCAAGCTGGGTTCACAGTGGGGACAAGTACCACAGAGCAAATCTTCAACATCCAAATACTGTGTGAAAAGTACCAGGATCACTAAAAAAGAACATCACCATAACTTCATAGACTTCAAGAAAGCTTTTGATAGGGTGTGGCACAAGCACTTTGGCCACAGTGAACAAGCATAACATCAACAGATCCCTGATAACACTAAGAAGAACTTTACAGCAATGCAAGTAGTGGAGTGCTGATCAACAACAACATTTTCAAATAGTTTGCAACTTCAGTAGGTGTGTGGCAAGGTTGCCTGTTCTCACCATGCCTTTTAAACCTCTTCAAGCAAATCATGTCAGGTGCCTTAGAGAATTTCACAGGAACTGTATCATTTGAAGGGTGGAAGATCATCAACCTGCACTTTTTGATAACATGAATTTGATAGTAGGGACATCTAAAGAGCTTCAAGAACTTACAAAAATGCTAGACAAAACTGCAAAGAGCTATGGAATGTAGATAAACACTGAGAAAGGCAAACTTCCAAGATAACCATCAGCAATGTTGATGTGAAGATGAGCAATGAAAAAATTAGGAAGAGTAACAAGTTTTCAGTATCAGGGAGCCACCACCATCATGGAAGATCACAGAAGACTTGACATATGAAAATGAAGTTGAGACCAGAATAGCCATTGCCACCAGCCAACTAACGAAGCTAATCTGGACAAGCAGCAATATGACATGGAAGGTAAAGTTACCTCTGCTGCATGCCAAGGTCATCTACAATGCTTGATGGCTCTGAGGCATGGACGCTTAATAAGTTAGAGAACAGAATTGAGGCATTTGAAATGTACTGCTTGGGGAGACTGTTGCATGTCTCATGCACTCAGCACTGGACCTATGAGTCTGTCAAGCATCAAATAAGTCAAGAAATTGGAACCTATGAACCA